GCGAAGGGTGTTCGGCATCTTGTGCTTACTTCCTTGCGTACGGATGACAAGGGTCGGGAGGGGAGTGGTCATTTATTTAATTATTTTTACGGCCGTCCATAGTGTACCCGTCAAGCCAGTGGACTTTCCCGAGACGACCCGTAAATTGTCTTCTGTGGCGCATGCTTGACAATTTTTTGGCGACAACACCACACCACGCGATCCTCTTCCCTTTCAAGGCAACAAAGTCGAATTCGAGCACTTGGGAAAAAGTCCTAGCGTTTGGCCTCTGTGACGTAACAGATAGGGCCGTCTCGAAGGCGAGCTGTTGGGCGGGATGGATATGCAAGGCGAAATCGCGTACTATTAATGAGCACCATCCCCGCCTACAGAGGGCTCAACAACCAAGACAAAGAACAGAGTCCCCACGTCGCGTACATGCTGTAGCCCTCTTACGTACGGGAATGACTACAGAGAGACGAAGGGAGATCTGCGGCTAAAGCTTGCCGATCCAGCTGCAGCAAGCAACTACGGGAAAATCCCGAAAAATGTTTGGCGCGGCAGTGGCGACATTCGCCACCGTTTTAGTGGATCGAACGAAACTTGTCGATCCCATGAAACCTACGAAGAACAGCTTCTCTGGAGGAACAATCCGTTTTCGAAGTGTACTGTATGTTTTGCACGACGGAGGCAAGCAAGAACAGGGTATGTACCCGCCTTTACTCCTCGCCCTCAAAGAACTTGCCCCTCCACCCCCCACCCCAACCGTTCCCGCTAACCCTCAAGAACGCCTACATGGTTAGAAACCGGAAGCAAGGATAGAAAGTTTGCCTCAACACCCCCGTCACCACGGCTGCAGCGACCTACATGGCGATGTGGTGGTGCTTCGTACCTTCTTGTCATAATCGTCCGTGATGCCCGATGTATCCGGAAAGTCGACGAAGTCCTCGCCATTCAACGCCAGCTGCGGAGCTTGAGCGATGTACAGAAGCTCAGCGCTTACCTGAGTAGCGCCCAGACAACGATCTGGGCGTCAATAACAAATTTTAGGTCATTTTAACTCGGTAAAAGAACTAACCTGTGCAGGGTAAATAAACGTCAGCAGCGGAATGGATGTCCGGGTGTCGTTGGCAGCAGGCATGACCCTTTCGCTTTCAAAACTGGAACTTTCGCTTGAACACGCAACCGTGTGCGCGCGCGCTCCAGAGCTTTGTGCTGTCGCCGAGACCGACGTTCTCGCAGCGTTTAGCCAGTTGGCGAGGTGTTTATGCACAAACACACGCGTGTACACACCTTGCGGACGTCGAAGTCCCTGTGACTCTTGAGGCTTTTCAAGACCTCCACCGCTTGTTTGTTCCTGTTGACACCCTGCAGGGCCTGCGCCGCCCACAGCTTAAACTACGCGACACACCGATCAAGTCGAGTAGAGGAGAGTAACATTATTAGACCCTCTAGTCCAGGAGGGCATCCAATATTGTTGGGACGATTCAAGAAGTGCTTGCACAAGCTGGGACTTAGCCTTGGATTCATCCATTGCGCTGTTCCAGGTCTTGTTGAATCACATCTGTAAAGATTGACAAATTGAACCCTAATATTTTTTAGACAGTGGTGCACAACTCGAAGACACTTTCGCTATACACGAGCACGTCTCACTTCGCCGCCTCTCCTCGAGTCTGCTCCCGCCAGGTCGACTGCCTTCTCTAGGAGAGCGACAGATGCGTCGCAGTCGCGGCGCCTCATCAACGCGATCGCTTCTTCATACAAAATCTGAAAAAACATGGGAGCGCGTGGGGTGGGCGTGTCAGCGGGCGGGTGGGTGCGTCTACGCTGGGTAGAAACAGAAATTTCAGTATTCCGTGGTTCTTTTGCTCTTGCATCCGTAACGAGTGGGATGCACACATCCGTCAAAGCTGGCCGTTTCTTTTGCTCGAAAGCCTCAGCTACACAATATGCTTGTTGTCATGCATGCTCTACTGTGCAATGGCTCTTTCGACAGCAGTGCCTGCGAGTTCGGGAAATGTTCGAGTCAACTTTAAGGGCTACAATGTAAGGGGGAGAGCGGGGTTGCAGGGAACAGAAGGTAGAAATGCGACTGCATCCGGCGTTGAACACAGCTTGTTGTATTTGTATTGGCAGCAGATCAGATTCCGGGCGTCTCTGGGAACGTCAAATAAGGTGCAATCTATATTCCGTGGAGCGGGTACCGCGGACATACATACCTCCGCCTTTTCTTGGTCTGTGAGCTCCTCTCCGTTCTTCGTGCGAGCAATCAGGCCTGCCGCTCTGTTCCCTTGCCCCGCTTTCCTTCCCGCAATGTCGGCGTCCAGCCACGCGCCAAAAATTTTCACCTTCTCTCGCCCTGCACCCGTACATACACCACCAAGTAGACGACGGTGCTCAAACAACACACGATCCAAATAATATTGGTCTTTGCAGCGGAAGCCCCAAACTGCACGACAGAGTACAGCAATTCTCTCGCGTAGTTTCGTGATGAGAGCATATGACACCAGGTTGCAGAAGAAATGATCGTCACTAGATAGGGAAGGGGTAATGAGTCGCGGGGTAGCCGACTCAATACCTTGCCGTCGCCGTGTACTTTTAACACCTATGCTTTTTGGGGCGGGGGGTGCAGTCGATCGTGTTGAATATTGCTAGTCATAACAATGAAATTCCAAAGAAAGAAAGTGCAGCGAGTGGCCGTTGGGATTCGGGCGCATACAATGCCGTAGGTGACACAAGATACCACACGCTGGACCGATTTTCAAAGCTCGATTGCTCCACACCACAAAGAGTGACGGTGCCGAAATGCGCGAGCTGTGTGTATGCAACGTTTCGTGCGGCGGCTGATAGAGGCCACGGGGCCATAGGACCCACAAAGCTGAGGTGGAGAGAGTCGGCAGT